CCGGCTCGGGAGGCCCCCCGCCTGGCGCGTTCCGGTCGGCCCTGCCGGAGTCTCTGGGAGGTGGAAGTGGAGCCAAGGGAATCCTTAGAAATGGCTGTTTTCCTTCCTCTGGGGATTTGGACATACGGTGCGTTTTTAAATGTTTGCCCCTTCGGGGACAGTAGCATTTCTGAGCACTTAGTTCACTGAGTGACTCAAACTTCTCATCGTCTCCAGTGTTCTGATTTTCACAGCTGCTTCGCTCCCCCTGGGGGCATGACCCCATAGCTGACATTTTGCACCCCACTTGCTTTGTGATGGAGGCTTCTTTGGGGATTCAGATGGATGAACCAGTGGCTTTTTCTCCCCTGCGTAGCTGGTTTCAGGCGGATGGCTCGTTAAAAAAACATGAGCAGAATTTTAAACTACAAGGTATGTGTTTGTTTCCAAAGGTATACAGGCAACAATTCTGTCATTTCGATTATTAAAAAAAAAAAAAGCCCACTTCCTGAATCTTCAGGTGAGTTGTATGTTTATACAGGAGCATTTTACAAACCACTTAAGCTTCCTAAGATCTCGATATAGGATTATATTGCATTTCAGAAAGGGGATCGTAGTCCAACCACGTCATTTTACAGATGAAGTTGCTGAAGTGTAAATATTAGTGGTTATCTGAGAACACAAAATTTCTTGATACTCAAACTGGCATTTCCCTTCTCCTAGACCTGTGTTCTTTTTTCTACTCATCATATTGCAGAAAGCTTGAATTGAGAAATCCTCAGCGGAGGGGTTTTCACTTACGTCTTTAAAAGCCAGACTTCACCGACAGAAGTGAATGAAATGTCTGTAGCAGTTGTAAGGAACTGTATCTCAGTGCACATCATGAAGTGGTGTTTGACCCTTACCCAGACTTGAAATGGGAAGGAGACGGTCAAACAGTGCCTGACCTTGTACACTGTGATGTGCACCCTCATTCCTGTTCTATTACAATGCCTGGGACGTGGTAGGAATTTCATAAATATTGGTTAAATAGGAGTTCCAGTTGATTGTTGTTTTTCTTAAAATGTATATGTAGCTAAATCTTCTTTTCTATCTTTGCCTTAAGCATATTTAGTACTTGTTCAAAATATAAATTTTGACCTTTCATCCATAATATACTTACACACTACAAAATAGATTTTAACGCCACCATGGAAAAATATGACTAAAGCTGCACTCATTTTGGTGTTAAAATGAGTACCCTCCCTGATGTCCCTATTTGGTGAAAACCACTATTCCAGTTACCTATGCTTAAAACTTTTGAGTTATACATGGTTTATGCTTTGTATTTGCCCTCCACGTCCAGTCACCCAGTTTACTTCTTTTAATATATGTGATGTTGCCTCTTCCTATTCCCACTTTCACAGTAATTCATTGCCTTACACTTTGCTCCTGAATTACAATGAAGTTTCTTACTCAAACTGCCTGCTTTCACTTCTTTTTCATTCTCCAGTTCATTTAGTACACTGCTACTAGAATAATCTTAAAATGCCACTTTCATCCAGTTTCATGGTTGCTGTCCCTCTTCCCTTCCAGTTTTCTTGCAATTGTCTGTTTTTCACAGTTCACCTTTTCCTTATGTCATCAGATACATAATACAATGACAGTCATTGTATTATTCTTCTGGTATTATTTAGTACTCTGTGTATCTTGTCTCTTCATTATACTGCAGGCTCCTTAAAGGCAGTATGTTGTGTAACTCCTGATGTATGTTGTGTATTAGGCAGAGTGTACGAATAAATGAATCTGACTTGGCTTTAGCATTGTGTTCGGATAAAAGCAACTATTCTAAAACTCTTCCGAAAAGTGGGGTGAATTTTATTCCAGATTTCTAAAGTTTTGTGGCTTTTATGTAACAGAACATTGAACATTGTAAACAATACCTTTGATAATTTATAAAACATGCTGAAGTTCTATTCATATCGTTTTTATTCGACCCTTAATAAAAGCTGAGTTTATATCAAAATATAACTTCAGTGAGGGGTTAAGTCAATAAAGTCCAGGCATATAACTGTCTCATGATCTAATGAGATTGACTTTTCCTTGATGGAATAACTTTTGAATGGTGGGACTTCTTGTATATCTTTGTGTCCCCAGAGGCTAACAGTGTCCAGCGCATAGTAGGTGTTTGAAAATATTTGAATGAATGATTTAATGCCCTTGCATAAAGTAAAATTCTTAGTATAATGGGTGCATACAATGGCTCTTTGTATTAGGACATTTGTGAGCTTTTTAACTTTTTTTCTGATAAAAATTATACATGCTTATTGAAAATATAGAAAAGTCAAAATAAGAAGATACCCCACTATCCAGTTATTGTCACTGTTGGCATTTTGTTATATCCCTGTACTCTTCCAGTGCATGCAGAGATATAATAAATTGGGATCATAACCAACTCACTTCTAAGCTCCACTTTTCACTTAGCAGCATACATCTTGACCATTCTTAGTGTAATCAAGTGCTCTGTAGCTTGGACTGCTGATGTTCCATTGTGTGGTGTGCTGTAATTTATTTGTCTTTGCTTATTGAACGTTTTGTTTTCCATTTTTTCCTTTTAAGAAAAATGCTGCAGTGAACAAAGTATCTGGTATAGTATTAGATCAAGTGTTTACTTCATTCTTTCAGCAAACGTTTTTATAAAGTGTCTACCATATACCAAGTTTAATGTGTTATAAAGATATCTTTGGTGAAAGAATGAAGTATGAACTGTATGTACACTGTTGAACTATACTGGAAGGCTTGCTTTTGGTGTGTTATGTGGGTACTCTGAGCCCACACTTCTAAAGTGGATTACAGGTAACTTCCTGGTTTGCCTGAGACAGACCCAGTTTGTTCCTGTTTTGACAGTGTAATTATTAGTGCCCCCTTTCATTCTCAAGAGTGTTCCAGTTTGGGCTAAATTGTATGATCTCCCTAGTTACAGGAGGCATTATTTTAGGCAGTACACGCAGCCCTGGAATAAGCATGATGTATTTTCTGGGAGTGTGAGTTCTATTCCATGGTAAATAGTTGAAAACATTTCTTTTCTATTACAAATATTTCTTAAATGTCTGTTATGTGCAAGTACCTTTCCAGATGCAAGGAGTGAATCAGTTCATAAGACACGAAAATCAGTACCCTCAATCTAATGGATAGCGACAGAAAATAAACAAAACAAGTAAATAGTATGTTTAAAAGTGATTAGTGCTGTGAAGAAAACACAGATGGGAAGGGGAGGTAGGAAGTATTGGGGGAGGGGATTGTGATTTTGGTAAGTGTAGCTGGTCAGAAAAGGCCTCAGTGTGGTAACATTTGAACTAAGACTGGAAGGTGGTGAAGGAGTGAGGTCTGCACATGTCTGGGGAAGAGCATTCCAGGCAGAGGAAACAGCACGTGCGAAGGCCCTATGTATGGAGTGCGTCTGGCGTTCAGAAATCGCTAGGAGCTCATGTGAAGGGAGTGAAGTCAAAGACAGGTGAGGAAAGGAGGTAATTCTTTGACTTTTGTGTGGAGCAAGAAGTGAAACTATTAGTGGTTTTTTGCAAAATAGTGATATGGTGCCTTAGCTTTAACAGGATTGCTCTGGCTGCTGTTACAAATAGATTATAGGTCATCGAGGGTGAAAGCGGGGACTCTAGTTAGGGAGGCTCTTGATATAGCCAGCTTGGATAAAGTGTGGAGCAGGGAAAAAAATTTGCTTAAAATTGTAAAACAGAACCCTAGACCTGCATGTATTAAATATGGGCATTTAAACAGTATTTTAATTTGTGGACTTTCCAGGGTGTTTCCCCAGTCCTCAATGTATATATTCATTGGTCTCTGCCTTTAGCAGTATTTTCTAGCTTTTAACATGAACTTTTTCTCCTGTCTGCTCTTATCTCCCACTTCAAAATTTGGGGGGTTTTCATTCACATTGGTTGTCAGGAAGTTCTCTGTTGTTCAGAGACATCCAAGTTGTTCTCCAGTGACAGGAAACCTTAATGTAAACGAAGTTGGACTTTTGTAACTCAGCAAGGTTGTGAGCACATAATGAGTTGTGGTGTGGGAGCACCTCGGGCTTACATGGTCATTCACATGGCTTGTGCATTACAGTATTTTCTTATTACATATTTTTTCTTCTTGTGATTTTGAACAGCTAACTAGCATCTCCAAAATTAATGCCAGCTCATGCTTAGGCAAAGGGAAGTTCCAAAGTATGGGACTCGTAGGAAAACCATAGAATATTGTGGTTGGGAGGTAAAGTTCGTCTAATCCAATTCCTTTGTTTTACAGCTTAAGAAACTGAACTCTAATGTGATTTAGTGATAGGAGTTGAATCCAGACTCTTTAGATTCCAGGCTTTATTTTTTTTTTAATACCAGCACTGTCCGATGGAACTTTCTGCAATAACAGGTGTTTGTATGTTATCACATGTGGCTAGTGTGACTGAGGAGGTTAATTTTTATTTTTGTTTAACTTTAATTAATTTAAATTTAAATAGTCACATGAAACTGGTAGACAGGACAACTCTGTATCATCCTGCTACAAAGCTTCCGGTGTTATTAATCACATACACAACAAAACACGCACACCAGCACTTCAAAACATTTAGTAATAAAAAGACTACAAATAGTTCTTAAAGTATTTCGTCAGACCTAAACACCATGGATTGTAAGACACACCGTGATTTCATGTACTGCTCAGAAATGCTGCCAGTTACACTATCACACAATGCTTTCTTATCACGTGGAATTTTGTATACTTCTTGGAAGAGTTCTTTTAGACCTGGTTACACAAGTAATTGTATATCTCTGGGACATACGTGAAAAGAAAACCATTTCAGAGCTGTCTCTTCTGAATCCTTTTTTTGTGCTCAGACTCACTGGTACCCTTTTTCCTCACGATATTGTTCGCATACATTAGTGATGCAGAATTTCTTTGAAGAATTCATTTTTTTAAAAAAGCCATTGTTAATGGGTTCTTAAGAAGAGCCCAGTTTTGTGGAGCTGGCCGACATTTGATTTCTACCTCACCACCTCTGCTGTTCCTCCCTGCAGCCACTTAGCTCTTAAGGGTTAAATGTGAATGCTCCTCTGTGATTTCTTGAATTTTCTTCAAGTCATTGAGACCTATTGTGTAAGATTTAATGCTAGCCAACAACAGTTGTTAGTTGCATCCCAATTTCAGAGTTGTTAAAATTGTTTCTTAGAGTCAAAGAAATATAATAGCAGATTGGACATACCGTATTAGTGACCATTTATGATGTCTTTTCTCTGACACTGGAATTTGAAGCTTGTTGGTCTTGACACTCATTAGGAAGGTTGTAATTGACTGTGACAACTATGACTGCTAGAAAGCCAGCTTTTCCCCCAGGCCTTGGTTTTGGTTTTAGAGTGAGGTGGTGTGGTAGGTTATGGTGAGGTGATTGCTGTTGTCTTTGGCTTCATTCTGTTATAACTTCTAAACTTTTGCTGTTTTTCTACAGCTATTTCTGAATGCCCATAATGATAGTAATCATTCATTCGTTCAGCAAACGTGCCAGGCCCTGTTATAAGAGCTGAGCACATTGTGGTGAATTACATAGGCGGGAGCCTGTGCTGGTGGAACTTATATTCCAGTGGGCGGAGGCAGGCAGCAAACAAATAAACAACCGGGATAATTTTACATTGGATAAGTACTCTAAAGACAGTAAACAGGGTAACGTGGGTAATGGGAGAAGTGCTGATTTGAGTAGGATGTCAGAGGTAACTGAGACATAGGAAGCCGTACGAAGTTGTACAGGAAGAGGATTTCAAGCAGAGGGCATAACAGTAAGAGCAAAAGCCCTGAGAAATAAAGTTAATAATAGTAGCTACAACAGTAAGAATCACCACTGTCATTTAGTATTTACCACGTGTCAGGCATTGTGTTAAAAGCTGCTCTAGTGTTTGGTGTGTTATTTCATTTAATACTCACAGTACTTCAGCAGCATGGGTACTGTTATTACCCCCTTTTCTACAGATGGGGAAACTGAGGCTCACAGAGACAAGCTGTGTGCTCAAGGTCACACCAGCTGGGTAATAGTGGATCCAGGATTTTAAGTTAGGCTTCTCATCTCCAAAACTGATTCACAAAATTAGTGTTATATTGCCTCTCGTATTGAAATTCATGAAGCTTCTCCAGTTCACGGGCAGCGTAGATGAAAAGGTGAGGGAATTTGGGGTTTTCCCATCTCCTTTGATGGGGTGATAAAGTGGGAGAACTACTGGATTAGGTCTTCTTGGCCTCTCATTTGGTCTCCTCCTCTTAATGTTCTCCTCCTGAAATTCATCCTCCACTTGTCATCTTCCTGCTTAAAAACTTTCCATGGCTTTCATTTGCATTCTCTGCCTTTCCTTCCTCCCACGTTGAATTTCATTCTCTCCGACTCTCCCCTCCCGCCACAATAATCCATGCTTTTTTCCTTTTCCTTGTCTTTCCGTACTTAGTAGTTCCTTCCTAAAATGCCTTCTTGCACTTTGTCTACTTGGCAAATGCTTCAGAACACAGGTTAACTGTCACCTGAAGCTTCCTGGCACCTTCAGCAGTGTTTGTTCCCTTTCTACCTAGTAATATATGCATTCCTCTGTTATTACAGTTGAAGTCTTGTACTGAAAGTGAGCTTTTAACATGTCTCTTCCACTAGACTAAGCTCCTAGGGAGCACGAGGACTTCACCAACTTTGTTCATTTGTTTTCCAGTATGCAAATTGCTGGGCATTTTTAAAAGGAGTGTTTGTTAAATGAGTGAATCTATAGACTTACCAGCAGTACCTCTGAAATTGGGCAAGTGATTTAACTTCTCTGAGTATGGTTTCTGTACCTGAAGGATCAGGATAGTTATTTCCTTTCTCCCAGTATCACAATGCTATTGTATAGATCTGAAAAGATAATACATGCGAAAGTGCTTTGAAAATGTGTTAAACTGTTCGATGATGCCGAGTGTTGTTATGGTCATTCATCTGACGACTCTCAAGTATGTAGTTCTCTTGTGTATCCAGTAGTTTATCACATTTTGTATTTATTATTGGCTGTATTTTAACCATGTACATTTTTGTGCAGAGCTTTTATTTATTTAGAAGTAGTGATTTATCCTGCTGTCAGGATATAGGGTACTGCTAGAAATTGGGACCATTTTTAAAGAATATTTTTTAACATTCCTAAGATGTTTAGTAGACCTTCTCTCTAGGGTATACTGTGAATATTCAATACATAAAACCTGTCCAGGCCTGTAAGATTTTGTATCTTTGGGGGAAGGAGATATTTTCAGGAAGACTGCTTTGTGTCCTTGTCATGCCATCTAGTGATCACAGCACAAATTGTTTAGTTATTTTTAAAATTTAGCTTCTTCAGTGCGTTGTCCTCTATGCAGTGACAGTGTATCTGTTAGTATGTAATTTCAGAGTAGTAGAAATCAGGTGTGAGTGATTCTGGGACTTTTCAGTTTTATCTGCTGGTTCAAGAGGTGTGTGAGTTAAAGCAGCTTGTTGAGATTTTAGTCTTATGATTTTAAGGTTCATTATAGCTATTCGATTTGTAATTTAATTACTCACATTTTAGAAATTACTGAGTTTTTTTTAACCTAAGAAAATATAAAGTGTACTCTCACTAATTGTAACTAAATTCTTTTTTCCTTGGTAGGTGTTCAAAAAGACATTGAGAAGCTTTATGAAGCTGTGCCACAGCTTGGCAATCTGTTTAAGATTAAGGACAAAATTGGAGAAGGTAATTTGGGGATATAGGTCATTATCTTTATAAGCTTTTTTCCTCCTGTTTTCCTTTGTATAACCTTGATTTTCATTATTATCTCTTATTGGAAAAAATACCCCTTTTAAAATAAGACCATGATTATATTACTAACTATGGTAATAGCTTTTCTTTTTTCTCCTGGAAAGAATGAAAGAGTAAATAAATATTTGTAAAATGGACAGTCCTTTGTAACCTTTAAAATTTTATACCATTATAAGTATTGATATACTAATAATGTATTATTGATAATTAATAAAAATGAAAAGTTTAAAATTCAAAGGGGGGGAATTGATCAGGGAACGCCAAATCTTTTTTCTCTTTTTCCATTACAGTTAGGTAGAATTGTACATTGAAACCTAAGTTGGCAAAATGATGACATTAAAGTGGTACAATATTTATAGGATGGTCAGTGTTTACATAAATACCATTGAGACTGACAGTCATGTTGATTTGACTGAAGGGTGAATTCGGCAGGCAGATGTGAAGGGAACGAGAAGATAAAAGATAATAGAACTTTTTGGTGGCTATGCTGTTAAATAAAAACTTAACAGTAAAAAAAAACAACTTCTATTTGCTTCATTGCTTCCTTTTCACAATGAAAAGTGTCAGATGAGAAAAGGGTAGGTCAGTGAGGGAAGAGAGGTTAGAAGGTGATGATTTGGGATGTAAGAAGCAAACGTTTATCTCTTTCTTCTTACCTTTTTCTGCACACTGACTTAGTATGCAGAACCTTTGTTCTGGAAAACACTGGTATCCTCCTGACAAGCTGAAGCTGGTCCCAGGGGGCGGGGGGTGGAGTGTGTTCCGAGAGGCTGAGTGGGTTTGGAAACTAGAGCACGCGTAGCTCCGTTTTGGTTACTTACGACGGACTCCAGAACACTAAAGTCTAGAAAGTTTTGTAGTAAAGAAATCTACCAATTTGTTTTAACTTAGTATTTCTCAAGTTTAATTGACCACAAAATCTTTTTACTTTTTCTGTTTAGTTTCATGGTAAATTTAAAAGTTTAAAAAACTTCTTAAAATAAAAAATTTTGTAGGTCTTCTTTTCCCCTAAGACTATTATCATTTTTACTTCTAGGAGACCTGTATCGAAGTCTCAGTCATTTCAAATAGCAAAATTGTAGAAAAATACCTACTAGAATGGGTCATATGGGAATATTTAATGCTAACCCAGTCAAACAGACTTCTGTATAACTTTGGTGAATTGATATACCCCCTAGAGAACTGATGACAGTTAAGAATTTATTAAAAATTGAAAATAATTAGTATTTACAAATGTATTTACTTTTTGTATTCAATGTCATTAAAATTTTAATGATAGATTATGATATTTTCATGTATTTCAAACAATTTTTAAGGACCATTTTAGCATTGTCTCATTTTTAAAAACCAAATGTTAAAAAAGTCTAATAAATTGTTTACAGGCACTTTCAGCTCTGTTTATTTGGCCACAGCACAATTACAAGTAGGATCTGAAGAGAAAATTGCTCTGAAACACTTAATTCCAACAAGTCATCCTGTAAGAATTGCAGCTGAACTTCAGTGCCTGACAGTGGCTGGGTAGGTGATTGGAAGATGTTTTTAACTGAACTGCTGTGTATAATCTTTAAGACTTTTAAGTACATGTCTAATAAGATGATGAGACTGTACATTAAATATATTCTTCAGTCAGGTGTTTGCAATTTGTGGACACTTTTCCTCTAATCTTGGAATGACTAGTTAGGTTTATATTAATTTTTAGAGTAGATTTCCCTTGAGGCTCAGCTTGGCTTCCTGTTCTCTGACCACTTCTTTTTCTGTTCTTCCTGCCAAATCATAAAACTTGGCTTCCATGGTCTAGATATTTTTTCTAATGTGGGGAACTCATATTTCACATCTCCCCAGGTACTGACAGCTTCATCTCATACTTCATTTTGAACAGCAGAGTCATCTGGTGTGTCTTTCCCATTGGTGTCTGTGCTAAGTCGTTCTGTCAACACAGAGACATAATCTGATGTCTCTTCTCCTCCCTGTACTGCTGCCCCTCTTCCAGTTGCTCCATCATTTCTTTGCTCCCCTTCACAGCCAGATTTCTCAGAAATTACCTGCACACAGTTTTCACTTCCATACCCTCCTTTTACCACACACACGCAGTGTGGCTGCTCTCATCTGTGCTAAACTGAAACTGCTTTAGAGTCACCCATGACTTCCATTGTGGCAGTTCACGTTCCTTTTTCTGTTCCCATGACTCCTGGGAGTGTTTGACGTCACTGATTTGAACCACTGTCTTGACTTCTGTACTGCCACATGCTTCTTGATTTCTTCCTGCTTTATTTGGCCTTTTATTTTCAGTATCCTTTGCCAGTTCTTCCTCTTGTACCTGACCCCTAAATGTTGGAGTTCCTCTGTGCTTCATCCTGGGGGTTGCAATCCCTAGACTCCCTTAGGTGACGACATGTATTTCCACATGGCTTTAAATATGTGGTAATGATTCCCATACGTGTATATCTAACCTCAGACCTCTTAACTGCAGATTTGTATAAGCCACCTGCCTATTTGACATTTCCAGTTGGGTACCTGATAAACATCTCAAACCTAATAAGCCAAAAACTAAATTTTAATCCACCTTCACCTGCTCCTATAAATACCTGTTGCAACGATCTGTTTCCATCTACCCATGGCAGCAAAGGGCACCACCATGTGCCTCGTTGCTCAAGCCAGAAACCTAGTAATGGAACCCAGTTTCTCCATTTCTTTCCTAGTCCACATCCATCACCAAGTCCTGGCAATTCTACCTCCAGAATAAGTCTAAAAACTCATTCATATCTTTCTGTCTTCTCAACCGCTATCTTCGTCCAAGCCTGGATTACTACAGTGGCCTACTGCTTTTCTTCCCCTTTTAATCTCATAGTCAAAAAACAACCAGAGTGATCTTTAAAATATAAAAATATATATGTATGTCGTGTAAGTTGGATGCTGTTAGTTCCACCACTGACAGTTCTTCAGTGGGTTCCCAGTGTTCTTTGAAGAAAGAGCCTCCAACTTCATCTTCTGCCAGTCTTCCTACCTGTGCTCCAGTTTCTCCTGCTCCTCACATTTGTCCCAAGGGTTTTGTCACCTCAGGGCCTCTGCCTGTACTGCTTCCCCATCCAGGAAGGCCCCTCCCCGTCTTTGCATGTGAACTTCTCGTCTTTCTGCTCTGAGCAAGAGTGGTAACATTTCAAAGAGATCTGCTCTGAATTAAATTAGATTCTCCTATTTTCTATTGTCACAGCAGCTTTTTGTCTCTTTTAAAACCCTTATCATAATTTGCCACTATTTATTACGTTGATTATTATCCATAATGTCCACTAGAGAGTAAAATCCATGAGGGCAGAAATCTTGTTAATCTTAATTCACCATCCATGCTTTGATACAGTATCTGTCAAATAATAGTGCCCACTAAATATCTGTTGAACAAACATGCCTATTTCTTTGTTTCCCCCCTCTGTTTATTACAGAAGACAAGAGGGGAGATGGCCTCTATATGGCATGACTACATACCTTCTAGTCCCTAAATAAGATTACTCCTTTTTCCACACTTTAAATGTCTCCCTCCACCACTTTTCCTTTCCTTGTTCTTCAAAAGCATGTGCGCTGAAAAAAAGTCTACCGGGTCTTGCTTCCTTTCTAGCTCCCACATTGGTTTTTATTCTTTTCTTTGCCAGATGTTTCAGGCAAACTGTCTTTATGTTCTGCCTCCACTGCATCCTGTTTTCCCTCCTTAAGCCCTGTTTGGTCTCTTCCTTTCCACTTAAACTGCTCTTTGAAAATGAGCTCATTCCTCTGTGCCGGTTCACTCCTCTCGGCCAGACTGAAAGCCTTTCCTCGGTCCTTATCTCTTTGACGTGCATGCTGATCACCCTTTCCTTCAAAACTGCTCGCTTGGGTGACATCCCCATGTGGGCTTTCTGCCCCTTCTTCCTTATCTTGTCCCGCAGCTTGAGACTTCCCCAAGGCTCGCTTTTCTCTTTGTTTTCACAGCGTTAGGTATCACTTCTCCACAATACTGTCACTGGCTTACACTTGACTTCTCACTTAAGATACATTCTTGTAGGTAGATGTCGTTAAAATGGTGAGGTTTTGGTTTTTGATGCTGCTTTTCCTGCGTTCTCTACCTACTTTGTTGGTATGCATTCTGTTTACTCACTCAGGCTCAAGGGCATGGAAATCCAGTTTACCCCATTTCCTCATCTTCTGTGGGGCAACGTACTACAGTGGTTAAGGGCACAGATCTGGGGCAAACTGGTTTTAAATCCTGGCTCGGCAACTTACTAGCTCAGTTACCTTGGGGAAGTTCCTTAACCTCTCTCTGCCTCAGTTTCCTTATCTAAAAAAGGGTGGGGAGGAAATAACAGCGTCACCCTCAGAGGACTGTTGGGAAAGTGAGGTGAACTTTCTGATAGATGTGAAGTGCTTAGCTCAGCCTGGCGCGCAGTGAACGCTCAATAAGTGTCAGCTGTTATTTTTTAATTTGCCTATTACTGTTGTCGTCGTATTTGCTGCCAAGTCTTGTTAACTCATTTTTGTTACTTATCTTTTCCTTCTCATTTGGCCACTTTCCCAATTGAAACTGTGATTATCTTATTTTTGAATTATAACCTCATAACTGGTACTTTTTTTTAAAGCCTTATTTTTTGTACAAGCCAGTTAAATGTGTATACTGTTCTATACGGTGATGGTTTTAAGTTAGTTTTCTAGCATTTGTGCATCGCTAAAATGGCATTTTTTTAAAACCGGAGTATAAAGTTTCACTTCATTTGACCTTTCCTCTAAAGTTCATTGTGCATTTTTCCACTAGGGGGCAAGACAATGTCATGGGAGTTAAATACTGCTTTAGGAAAAACGATCATGTGGTTATCGCTATGCCATATCTGGAGCATGAGTCCTTTTTGGTAGGTTTTAGTATTTCTTGAATTTTTATCAGCAGAATATTTCATTGAAAACAATCTGATGAGCTTACTCATAACTTTATTTTAGGACATTCTGAGCTCTCTTTCTTTTCAAGAAGTACGGGAATATATGTTTAATCTGTTCAGAGCTCTGAAACGCATTCATCAGTTTGGTATTGTTCACCGTGATGTTAAGCCCAGCAATTTCTTATATAATAGGCACCTGAAAAAGTAAGTATGGGGAATTACCAGAAATATTTACCCTTGAAGGAATTTGCACTATGGGGTCCGTCTCTTAGACAAAGAACATACTGCAACAGATAGTTTTCCATTTCAGATTTTCATTGTAGGTGGGGAAGGGAAATACACTTAAGGAGAAGACAAAACTGTGTTAGTAAAACAGTGTACATTATTAGATGTACCATGGCTCAGTGAAAATGGCGCTTAGCTAAGAGAGACTGAGAAGGGTCTGGGGTTTGGTGCTTGGCGTTTATTTCTGCTTCGTTACCTCACACGTTTGTCTCTGGGCTTCGTTTTCCTTTTCTAGTAAATGAGGTGATTGGACTGCGTGATAGCCAGTTTCCTGTTTGAGCTCTGTTTTGCTTTTATGTATATTTTTTATGCTAACTATATACACAGAGGCATTGTAAACTGAAAACTTAAATATTGCTGTTTGTACAGTGGATCACACTGAGTGTAGTAAGAACAGAACTATAACTTCTTGGGCTTTTACACTCATGACTTTTTAACTTTTCTTTAATTAAATCAGATCTTTAAACCATGATTTTTAATTTACTTTTCGTTTAAACTTGTTTAATAAAAAATTATCTGCTGTGAGGCCATCTCTGGCACCATCAGAGAGCAGAGAGATGTTTACATACTGCTTTCCTGGTCTGCCTTGTCAGCACAGGCCACTGGAAAAAGGGGGGAAAAGATTTGTGTGTGTGGAGGGGGATAAGTCTTCCCTTAATTTTCAATCCTAGTTAGCTGTTAAATCTTTGTCTTGTTTGTAAAACTTACTTTTCTTTTTTCAAGAATATTATAAATCCTTAATTTATCCCCAAAAGAATCACAGTGTCTGTGTGAGTGTGGTTTGAAAGGATTATGATGTCACCTAAGCTTTAATTGTTACAGAGGTTACGGAGAAGTAAAAATGCTTGCTTTTGTTTCATAGGTATGCCTTGGTAGACTTTGGTTTGGCCCAGGGAACCCATGATACGAAAATAGAGCTTCTCAAACTTGTCCAGTCTGAAGCTCAACAGGAGAGTTGTTCACAAAATAAATCCTACGTAATCACAGGAAACAAAATTTCGAGTGGCCCAGCAGCACCTAAGGAGCTGGACCAGCAGCCCACCACCAAAAGTTCTGTTAAAAGGCCCTACACAAATGCACAGATTCAGACTAAACAAGGAAAAGATGGAAAGGTTCTACCTCTCTTATTTCTTAAATACTAATGTGGTTTTAGAAGTGTACTTCATCCAACAGAGGGAGTTCTAATTCTAGGATAATACTTGCCACTAAAAAAAATGTTTTTTTGTGAATATATTCAGTTGATGTCCACACTAAGCTTTACAATGGATTGTTTTACAATTTCAAAACAAATTTACTTGGTAGATTTATAATGTCTTTGTCATCACAACTGCATTATATAACAAAAATGGAAAATAGTAAATTTTCCCTGCATGTTATAAAGTTCATATTAATTATCCTTTTTAAAAGAAAGCATTAGTTATAGGGGGGAAATTCTGAAGTGTCTGTCTCCATTTTAGCTGCACAGCAAAATGTAACATCCATGCAGGTGGTTTTGGAATTTTTTAGTAATATATGTATCTGTGGACTATGATAACATTGTATGGGGGTGAAGGGTTCTGTCTAGACTGTTTTCTCCTTTCACAGAATTGTTTTGGTGCCTGAGAATGACTTGGATGCAGCTGTTTTTGTTTTATGTCACTTAACTCTTTGAAAACTGTAACAGAGTACAGCTGGCAGGAAGTGTTAGCGATGTAATCCTTATTTTCCTTGTTTCTGTTGGTATTGTAGGAGGGATCTGTAGGCCCTTCTGTCCAGCGCTCTGTTTTTGGAGAAAGAAATTTCAATGTACACAGCTCCATTTCACATGAGAGCCCTGCAGTGAAGGTAAGTAACGTAGCTTAAGAGTGCAATCATCAGGCAGTTGTACGCCGAAGAGAATTTAGGGAGTGGCTAGATTAGCTTTTATTGTAAGTATGTTTTTAAAAGAGTTTTGCTTTGGCAGAAGATATTACTGCTTTGAGCATCTAGTCAACACTTTCATTTTCTCCAGTTTTTTCTGAACTTTTCTAGTGGAATTTTTCATCATTTTTGATTAGTTGACCTTGTTGCTGTTTCTTTAAAGGAACATTTAAGACGTTAAGGCTTTTACTTTCCTTAGCTAGAATGTGATCTCCCCAACAGCTAACGCATTTCCAACAGTTGATAGCGTAAAGGTGTTCGTAAAGGTTTCAAAAGTGCCATCAGTGTTAAGTGGCTTTGAATTGACTTGAGGTGCCCTGCAGCGGCCAGACAGCGGGGGCAGCGAGGCGCACCTCTGCTTTCAACTGATGTGCGTGTGCAGTTTGCAGCTCTGGAAGGAGTTAGACACTAGAACGTAACTGTTTATACTTGTAACGTTTCAGGAACCTAAGTTCTAATAAAGTGTAATTCAGAAATTCACCAAACTGGGACTAATTAGTAAATTGTAGTATGTTTATTCAACACAAAAACCTGAAAAGACTCCTGTTGCTTTTCGCCACACTGGCATTTGAGGCATCATGTTAAATGACATGAAAATAGAGACTATGACTTTTCTTTTACAGCTTATGAAGCAGTCAAAGACTGTGGATTTACTCTCTAGAAAATTAGCAACAAAAAAGAAGGCTGTTTCTACCAAAGTTATGAGTAGTGGTGAGATGAGGAAGGCTGCCAGTTCTTGTCCAGCTAGCCTGACCTGTGACTGTTATGCAACAGATAGAGTTTGCAGTATTTGCCTTTCAAGGTAATGTGTTTTGATGGTGCTATAAATTCACCAGCATGTGTCCAGACCAGATGAGAAATTGCATTGATTTTGGTGGGCAGTTGATCTAAGTGAAAGGAAACAATGAAGTTCTGTGAACTGCACAGGCACTAGTGTGGGTTGGTACCTTGAAGAGCAAATGACAGCTGTCATCATGTTTGTTCACTTGACGTGCACATGCTCTTTGGAAAACACACTTGCTTTTTACATGCAAATACTTTTGGTAGCGGTAGGGATAACTCTTTTGAAACTTTAGAATTGCGTGTTTCACTCACTGGCTTAATCTTGATTTCTTTCTACCTGCCAGTGTAGAGTAACCTGAGTCAGATAATAGAACTCCTCTCACTCCCACCTCCAGCTCTTTGCTACATAAATTTCTTTCCTCCCTTCAGGTCTTTAGTAAGCTTTCATGAGCCTTTCCTGATGAACTCACATGTGTAAGTGAACAAGAGTATCAGTAGTTAATAATCACTTGTACCTCGGAGTTCCTGTCGTCTTCTGTTCTTCTGTTATGCCTCTTATCATTTACTACCTCTTTTTATGCCTAGAAGCTACTTAAAACCTTTCTGGAGTTGGCCTTGGGAACTAGTGTTGGGGGAGGGATCTCCAGAAGCAAAATCTAGGATTTTTATCACTGAAATATCATTTGCTTACAACTTTCATTTATATAAGTATCAAGGTAGAATTTTCTGTGAACTAAATTGATAAATGTTGTTTTTTGGTCTTAAGTAATTAAACTTTAACATAACTAGAAAAACCTTATTTTGTCATCATAAGACGGCAGCAGGTTGCGCCTAGGGCAGGTACACCGGGATTCAGAGCGCCGGAGGTCTTGACAAAGTGCCCCGATCAAACTACAGGTATGTTGCACTAGAAGTACAGAACCTGACTAGTTGGTTGCCGCGGCTGCGTGTGATGGTGTGTCTGTACCTAGAAAGAGCTGTCATGGAGCAGGAACCCAGGGACATCTTGCTGAAGAGCTGAGTCCTGCTCTTCACTGGGATTGTGGACTTTACAGAAGTGCATTCAGTTGTTGTATGTTTATTCTGTGCTTGCTAATAATACAGAAAAGGGATAGAACTATCTGCTTGCACTCTAGTCAGGATATAATCTCAAATAATTATATAATAACCTGTTGTGTGTGGTTATAAAACTTCATACAGAGGATTTTAGGGATATTCTTACCTGAAGGGATCATGGAAGGAAGTTCGTGGAAGAGGGAGCATCTGAGAAGGGGATGTAAATGGAGTGGGGGGTTCTCACGAACAGAGGGACTTAGAAACAGCATGGCCATACAGGAAACAGTAGAAGTTTACTAGTGTTGCTGGAATGTTTGCTGTAAATCAGGGGGTGGTGAGAAATAAGCCTGAAAAGAGGTAGACAGGATCAGATCACACTTGTTATGTGGCCTGGGCTGTTTCCTGTAGGTTTTTGAAAGTTATTCAAGAGAAAAAGTAGTAATAGTTGTATTCTAGATGGGTCATTCTGGCAGGTGTGCAGGGAGGACCAGGTCCAGGTGAGAGATAATGAACACCTGAATGAGGGCAGTAGTCATAGGAATGAACAGAAAAATGAAGAATTGCAAAGGCAGAGCTTGGTGGCTAACTGGATGTGGGATTTGGGTGTTAGGTGGTGGGCAAAAGGCATCAGGGTGTTTATCAGATTCCTAGCTTGGAGGGACTTGAATGGGTGCTAGTAACCAAGATGGAGAATAAAGAAGTAACTGGGGTACAGGGAAAGGTAAGGATGACTGAGGGCATAATTGGTTTGAGATATTTGTGAGACGAACAGAGATACCCAACAAAATAAAAGTAAGTCTGAAGCTCAGGGAAGTCTGGGCTGCAAATACAGTTGAGTGTCATGATTACTATTGCAAATGGTAGTTGAAGCTGTGAAGTGGATGGGCCGATCAGGGGAGTGTACAGGGAAGGAGTTGGAACTCTGGGGAACCTCAGCCCCAAAGGCTTGGGGGAAACATTGAAGGAGCAGGCGGAGGTGCACAGGGAATGAAGAAAGGCAGATGATGCGGTGGCCCAGAGATGAGAGCAGATACCTTGGTGATACTGGGAGTTCAGCAATTAAGAGAGAAGGCGTCCCTAAACTTTTTTTTGTGAGTGTCTTCACATGAGGCTGAGCTGGTTTTACTCTTAACTGCCAGAGTTCTGGAGATTAAAGTTTCCACAGCAAAAGTTAGAGTTAGCACCTGGCTGAAAACGAGCTGCTCATGTTCAGTACTTTTCACAGAAATGAAGCACTTTGGCCACTATGGTTTGTAACTCTTGAGGAGCATCAGATTTTTTCCTACATAGCTACTTTTGATTTATTTTGATGTTATAAAATGTGCATTTACTTAGTGACGAAATATCCTTTTAAATTCATCAACATGTTACTCAAGAAAGAAAAGATTGTATTTTGCATTAAGGATGTTAGACCAGGGATTCTCAACCCTGAAATTACATTAAAAGCACCTGAGGAACTTTAAAAAAGACTTAAATAATTTCATTTGCAGCAACATGGGTAGACCTGGAGAGCGTGATTCTAAGTGAAGTGGGCGGGAAAAGAGAAAGAAAAATGCCATATGTCACTTACATGTCAAATCTTAAAAAAAAAAAAAAGGGAAAGACAGACACAAATGAAGTACTTGTTATTTATAAGTTAGATAATTGATTCCTTGAATGTGTGTGAGCACATCTGACTGTCCTTTATGACTGGATTACCGCATTCTGTTGATTCTTATTTTGTGGTTGGCTTTATTCCTTTGATAACTATGTGAGTTTAAAGATCTAAAACTAATCTGTTCTTAGAAACAAGGAGCAGTCCATACATGTGAACTAAAAAAGAGACTGATCCCAGCCCTACTCCAGAAAAGTAGATCAGACCCTCTGATGAGCTGGGGCCAGGGCATCAGAATGTCGTTCAAGGCTCTCAGGGTTATTTGAATGCGCAGTGAAGGCTGAGAACTACTGATGTAGAAATAGAATTGTAGATTGGAGTTCTTTTTAAAGTTTGTTTTCCCTTACAGCAATTGACATGTGGTCTGCAGGTGTCATATTCCTCTCTTTGCTTAGTGGACGATACCCGTTTTATAAAGCAAGCGATGATTTAACCGCCTTGGCTCAGATCATGACAATTCGTGGGTCCAGGGAAACTATCCAGGCTGCTAAAGCTTTTGGTAAGCAGGTTTGCATTATAGAACAAAACAAATGTCTTTTATTATCGCCTATAAATCACTTAAAGTTCAGCCTTACAACCTGAAACAAAAGAATAAGGGATAAAATCTTAACTCCTTGTAGTTGTGTTTGACTTTACCACATAAATATTTTTCATACTATATTTTAATTTGTTTACTGTGTATTTATTAAGCATCAAGTGTCCTTGGGCCTACCTTTAATGATTGTAGTCTGTCCTGAAAAGTAAATAGTTAAGTATAATCCAGTGTCGTGAGAACTGCAGTGGGGAACGTAATGGAGTGTGTGTGAGTGTCAGGTCCCTTAGGGTTAGAGCACCTGAGAAGGGAAATGAACCAGAACACCTTTTCTGATGGAATAGCGTTGTAAGCATTTACTGGACATGAGACGTCATCTCCTTACCTACACGAGTTCTTGTACTTCAAAACCGGGCTCTGCCGTGTGCTTCATGGGGCACCTGGGAGTTCCCTCGCCTTGCTCTGGCCAGCAGCTTGAACTCATGCCCAGCTCGTGCTTGTTTTCCATGCACAACTGTAGTTGATACTTTTCAGAGTGGGTGGATGTGATTGAGTTAGCATGCTGCCACACAATATGAAACACTCTTTTGGGACAGAATTTCTGTCAACCCACCTCCAGTGTAGCTGGGCTGCGTCTTGCCCAGCCCCAGAATCAGTGGGGCTTAATTAGGGGCACATGTGAGAATTTTCTGAGGAACTTCAAGTAATACATATGCCTGTCTCACCCCATCTTTTCCTGGAAAATACGATTCAGAAAAATATGATACATAGAAAGGGCCGAGGCTTGTTAGTTTGAAGAAAACAAGCGATTCTGACCAACAACTACTTCTGAGGAAAAACCACTGCAGAAATGATTGTCCCTTGCTTCAGCACCAGTGCCATGGTCCTACCCGCCAGGAAAAGATAGCGGTGGTTGTGAAGAGAGCTTCATAATAGATGCTTACCAATAAGTGTTCTTGCAGCAGAGTCGGTCTACAATTTGTGCCTTTCTTGAGCCTGTTGTAAGAAAGTTCTGTCTCACGGTAGTAGGGTGAAATACTACACACACGTGGGGAATGGAGCCAGAGAAGGAAGGCAAGATTGGCACCTTGAAAATTACCTTCTTACATGAGTGTGTTTATTTTCAACTGATTGAGAAAACTTTCATCTGCTATTAAGTAACTTCATGAGAAGCCTATGAATAGGAAGCGTGTCTCCAGAACTCAGAACATTTTGCTGGAGAGCTCCAGTCACTCCAGGGCGAGCGCCGTGACAGCAGGCAAGGGCTTCAGGGGCTTGTCATTGTCGTGTTTGCTCTCTTCTGAAAAAATAACGCTGTATAGTTCTGTCTTAGCTTCATCGCTGTGACTTTCGTAGCTGCAGCTGACCCTTGAACAACACGGGTTTGAACTGCGTAGACCCACTTATTTGCAGCTCTTTCTTCGGTCCTGTGTAATCCGGGACTGGTTGAATCCGCAGGTTAGAACTGTAGATACAGAGGACAGACTATGTAAACTTATATGCAGATTTTCGGCTGCGTGGGGGGTTGGCACCCCTAACCCCCTTGGTATTCAAGGGGCAGCTGATTTCAGTGCAGTCTTCCTGTATCTTTGGGTTGAATACAAAAGGACTCAGAACTCAGCAGCGACAGCAGTGTTGCCCTTGATGACCCAAAGAAACTTACTGGAGGGTCCCAGAAGAGTACTTCCACTTCTCGTGTGCTGTGTATAACCTGCCCCCACCCTCAGTCCCTAGACCTGGCCGCTTGTAGCCTGTCCTGAAGTGCTTGTTGAATTACATCAGATAAATTCAGAAGACCTTGAGCTAAAACAGATACCTGGGGAGAGGGTATAGCTCAAGTGGTAGAGCGCATGCTTAGCGTGCACTAGGTCCTGGGTTCAATCCCCAGGGCCTCCTCTACAAATAAATAAATAAATAAACCTAAGTACCTCCCTCCCCCTACGAAAAAAAAAAGAGATAAAACAAATGCCTGACACAGTAGTCTGTAATAAAATATTTTTGATTGAATGTAGTAGTTTAAATTATTTTCCCTGAATAATGAGCCCTCTCTGGACACGTAAAAAAATTAATTCAGGCACGTTGTATAGCTTGAGATGCTATAATGCATGATGATAGTGATCTTCTGACTTAAGAGCAACCTGTAAATTAAGGAATAAAACTATATGGCCATTCTTTTCTGGCTATAATTTTTTAGAGAGAATAGGAATAATAAAAGTAAAAACGGATTGACATTGTACCCTCACAAACTTAGTCTTAGGTAATTTGTTTTGTTTGTCTCCTCGCTGCCTGCCACCCACCACCATGACCTTCTTTCTCCCATTTTAATACACCTCTCTCCAGTAGAGATGAGAATACATAAAAGTAATGTTCTGTCATCCAGAGCTGGAGTAACTAACTGCTTTGTTAACAATCCACATTCCCCAGAAAGGAATCTAAATGCTGTCCAGCTCACTGTTTGGAGCCATTTCTGTTCAATGAGGAAGAACACGGCAAAAATGATGCACTGTTGTCTCTCTGTGTGCATAACTTATTTTTGCCCATGTCTGGTCATTCTTTTGGGAAGTAGTTTCAAAGACATACTTTTTAAAATGGAGATCTGGTTGGTTTATTAGTTCATTCAGAAACCTTTATTGGGACTTCATGTGTACTGGATACAGCAGAGCAGCTGTCATTGCATCTCTTTTCTCAGAGCTTAAGTTCTAATGGAAGAGCCAAAATAAACATGCACATACTGTCCGGTGGGTGTATTGGGGAAACCGAAAGTGGGGAGGGAGTGAGGGGGGCTTAGCTGTTGAGTAGGCTGGTGAAGGACAGCATCATGAGGGTGTGATATTTGAACAAAGACCTGAGAGGTTAAAGAATGCCTTTTTGTCTGGTCCAGGAGGCATTAACTGAGAGCCTGGTATGTACTAGACATGGTCTAGGGTTGAGGGGTTCAGAAAGATAAGATAGCCCACATCTGCAAGGAGCTCACAGCCTAGTAGGTGAGACAGACACATTGTATCAGTTACAGCACAGGACTGCAAAAGCAGTGACAGAAGTCTTACAGGATACGACAGGAGCTTAAAATGACCGGCCCTCTGAGTGTCCGGCCTCACGGAGGTCCTGCTGGAACTGAGTGGTGACGCAAGCAGGAGTGTTCTGGGCACGGGGCGTGCAGGGCATTGTGACCAAAGACAGGAACCGCGAAAAAGGCACATGGAGGCTTGGGGGGGGGAGAGGGATTGGGAACGGCAGCCTTGTGAAGAGTGTGGGGAAGCTGGAGCCCGGCAGAGTCGGGAGGCCGTCACATAACTTGCAAGCCACTGCCTTCTACTTACTGTCCCCCGCTTTACGGTCTGACTTCAGCTGTGCAATGCAAAACACAGCTTCTGGTGTGTGACGCTCTCTCTCACATTCAGGGCAAATACATCCACGAAGCACACAGCTAGACTTGCATGCTTCTCGTGGGAGAGGCTTCTGAAATGTTCAAATGGTATAAAACACACATTTTTTCTCTTTTAGGCAAATCAATACTGTGTAGCAAAGAAGTTCCAGCACAAGACTTGAGAAGACTCTGCGAGAAGCTCAGAGGGGTACACTCTAACACTTCTGAGTTAACAGGTGGTCCACAAAGGCCCCCTTCCCATGACCCAACTTTCCCCGAGGAGACTGGCCATGGAGCCGCTCAGCTCGGGCAGACACCTCAAGCGCAGCTCTCGGGGACCTCGCTGTGTAAAGGGGACGGCACTGGGGACAGCAGTGGCTGTGGGGGTCACGTTGATGAGCATACCACCCATGCAGAAGGCTGGGATGAGGTGCCTGACGAAGCTTACGACCTGCTTGATAAGCTCCTAGATCTAAACCCAGCTTCAAGAATAACAGCAGAAGCAGCTTTGTTGCATCCGTTTTTTAAAGATATGAGCTAATGATTGTCGTTCTGTAAGTTTGCTGTCGTGTATTGTGAGGTGAGGTTTGTTACAGCCGTAAATTCTTGATTAGACACCAGGACAGAGTAAATAATTTATTTTAAAATTTCAGTATCTGCTTTCATTGCAGATTCTAAAATACAGATTAAGATTACTTAAAATGCATGGGCTAGTTCTGTGGACTGACAGAATGATGTTTGAGTTAGAGCTACCTGAGCAGAGTCAGGTGTTGAGTTTCCCTAATTACTTGTGACTGCCGCGTGCAGAAAAAGTACATCGGGGTTCAAGGCTTAAGTCTTAGAACTAAGGGTTGTGATGGGAATTACATGAGTCAGAAGACTTCGTTTACTGGTGTCTCCGAGCTGTGTGCACGTCTGGGAAACAGCCTGGTGCTGGTGCTCTAACCGTCCTGTAGGTGAAGAAGATAATTCTCCTTCTAGACACATGTATTACACCTTTTATGAACACTAAAACAATGAGGAGATACTGGGAGAGGGATTGCTTAAAATTGAATTGAATTTATTGATTTAAAAAAGTATTTTGTGAAAGCAGTTTTTGTGTGAATTGCTATGTCTTTCTTAATGGTTTTTCTCGATTTCTCTACCTTGTCTACCCCCATGTAACACATTCTCCTTGGAAATTTTATGGTGCTCTCCACAAGGTTTCTGGGTGCTTTGCTAAATATTGCCTGTGTTTGCAATTGGGAAATTAAAATAATATATTCACTGGTTGATAAAAGGAAGCCGTAGGACCAAGGTGAAGATAGATAGTCCAAAATGCTTTTCTTTTTCTCCAAATATGTGTGGGTTTTTTGTACCATCTTAGGTATAATTTGGTAGCTGATGAAAGGAAGGAGAACACGGAATTGAGAATATTATTGGAAGTTTTTGCTCCGCCTGGAGCCATTTAGATCTGTGTCTTGTTTTGACGGAGCTGGTCCTGTGCAGAGGATGATCACTGGGGTCTTGGTTAGGTGGGGACAGTGATAAGGAGGCAGGCAAAGTAGAAAGGACCTGAGAGAGATTTGTGTGTTAGGATGCTCCAGAACGATGTACATCAGTGACAGCGGATCAGATTTCCTGTGGGAAATGAGCCTGGGGGTGTGGGTTGGCTGAGGTTTCCCACTTGGTGATCGTAGAGTTTAAAACAGCTCTGGGCCGTGTAACATCCATTTTGTTGTTTTGAGCATTGAAGTTACTATATCTCTACTCCGTTTATAGGTATTATTCATATATATATATACACACACACACATATACCATTATCATTGATCTGTTGTCTTCTCATGCTGTAATCTTTAAGAAAAAGACTTGAATGTCCTTGAATTTGTACGTTTAATAAAGCTATCCTTTTACATTTTTTATTGTCAATGTCAGACTACTCATCTGAAAAATACCTTTTTTAAAAAAAGCATTGACCACTAGGAGTGTATCCTTCTGAGACAGATGAATTCTCTCTCTTCAGCAGATGGAGGATTGACAGACGCTGACCTGCCTCAAGAAACATATGAAAGATAGATGTCGTTTTTTAGATAGAAAAGGCACTCATTGACTTCTTTTATAGGATATTTGTCACAAACAGTAAACAATAAACCATCTTAGTATCTAAAAAGAAGTCTTTACTGAGCTACAGAAGTTTTTAATGTGGCTCTCAGTCCAAAGTTAACATATTCTCAGAAAATTAACAGGAAGAAAAATTTGCCAAAAGTGCAGGTAAGAAGACATATTAAGAGAGTCTAGTATTCCAGGCTGTTGCTTCAACTTGCCATTAATGTCTTCTGAATAGAAACGTTGAACTATTCAACTTTTAGAGTAGAATTTGATTATATGCGAGGGATGGTAAAGACACCCAGTGTTACAAATCAGTTCTCGGAATTTCAACCCCACCAGAGAATGTTGCCTCAATTTGGGGTGTTACCTAGATAAAAATCAGCAAGGAGCTTGCATGTGCATATTCTCCAGGTTTTTCAGCCTTCTGAACACTACAATGGCAGATGTCTCCCTCAAAGATGTTAGGCAGAATAGTCATTCCTGGGGAAAGATTGAGAAGGTAGCTAGTTAACGCCATTTCCTATTATTAGGGAAGTTCCCAGAATATTCAGCAATTTTTCATTGTCAGCTTTTTAAAATTCTTACTGCTCACTCTTGAGATAAAGCTGTCGGCGTTTGCATTTAATAAGCCTTGGGCATTTAGAACTGTTAATGTAAGAAGCTGCCAGTATTGGGTTTTGAAACAGGCTGCAGCGCTAGCATTTTAAATGAAACTTTTCCTTATAAGGAGATGATTATAGTTGTCTTAATGACCTAAATAAAAATGTGGCTCAAGAACGGTTATTCCAAAGAATTAAACTTAGTTTGTTTCAAAATCTGAACGAAAGTCATCGAGTGGTGTTATTAATCTCAAGTTTCTGGCATCAGCATTTTAGGAACAAAATGGTGTTGCAGATGTCAGAATATTGATTGCATAAAATCTTGAAACCCACAAGACTCGTAGGCTTAGGTCTTAGTAATTTTGCTGTTTATGTAATTTCAGCCCTACGCGTCACCGAAAAGTTATTTATCTTAAGAAACTGGCCAAATTTGGCGGGTAATGCTGTCTGCCAGTGTCTGCAGATGTATTGTTTCCGCCTACGTTTGTGCGTGCTGTCTGTGGTCTGCAGAGAACACTAGCCAACGCCAGGCAGAAATGTCAGCTCTCTGTTCGGAGTTCTTCCTGTTCTTAGAACTGATGTTGCCTTTGCCTAGTTTTGTCAGATTCTGTGTTTGAGCCGTCTTCCTTCCTTGAAAGGTGGCTATTATCACCCGTGTACTAGATAAGCAATCAGAAGTGATTAATACTGTGTCACGTGGCAGCAAGATTTTCAGCAGAGTGACCACAAAGCTCGGCGCTAAGGCAAGTACGTAGTAAGTAGTGACGTTTTAGATATCTGAAGTGGAAAGTCACGATCTTCAGAAAGCAGTTGCGAGTTGGCTGAGAAAAGTAGAAAAAGATGTTCAGAAAAGTGATTGCAGATTGCAGATTGCAGTTTGAGCTTAATCTGTCATGCTATTTTTTTTTGCTTAGTAGAAGAAAATGAACTAAGAATAAAATTTCCCTGACTTTTTTGAGTACTTTAAAAAATTAACAATATATTTAAAAGAATTCAAAAAGAATGAGCAAAAAACTTACTTTATAAAGCTTTTACTAGGCAAGAAAGATAACTAGAAAACAGATGTAAATGGTTTAGAGTTTTGATGCAAGCATGTAGCATGTGCAAAATGCCCTTTTAAATTTAATACACGATGCTGTCCCAGCCCTTAAGCAGATTCTATCTTAGACCCTACTGAAGCAGCTCTTTGAGGAAAGTAACACTAGCTTTAACGCTGGGAAATGTAATCCTGTCTTGGGAAACAGTAAGGAGCTGCTAGATTCATCTCTAGCTTGGATTCAGAGAAGGCCAAGGTCACTCCCTCTGGTACCATGAAGGTGACTAGGGATGGGCTCCCGACCTGAGATCAGAGCAGCGGGGAGTAGGGGTCACACAAATCAGAGAGGGAAAGAGCCATCTGATACCTCTTTCTAACCAGAATGTTTGCGTATGTTTCTCAACTACACTCTTCCTGGTGTGTTTTACATGTTTGTATTTAGCCGTGTGTTCGCCTTTGCGTAAATTCCTCTGGCAGCTTCTCTGAAGACCGCAGCACGTGACCTAGAGGCGACTCCAGCGAGGACAAGACAGAGTCAGTCAGAAGCGGGTGTGCGGCCCCGCGGCCTCACGCTATTGTCTCGGCTCCGGCCTCAAGCAGAGGGAGCAGCCGGCCGGGGCGTCCAGCCGCCTTTGAGTTTCTCTAGACTCTCATCCTAATAGCGTTTTTACCTGATGGAAGGTTCTTTATTTCTTCTGGCATGTTGCTGGTCCGCCTACACACAAACGCTCTGACTGAAAACAAAACCAGCCCCACTGCTGTGTGTGTGTGTGTGAGTGTGAGTAATCTCAAATGCTAGCAGCGCTCCTCTACACTTGTCCCTCAGGCTAGTGAAATGAGTGGTGTTCTGTGAGCGCCCTTTCTGTCATTACGACCTTTTATTTTAAAACTTAAATAGATGGCCAAGCAAATGTGTGCTCCTCTTTAAAAAAGACCGCTTTCACGTGTTGAGCACCAGCATCTTCCCACCTGCTTGCTGTGTGTTACGAAGAGACGTCTCGTTTGTTTGCCCCCATGCAGTGTGACTAGGAGGGTGCCTGGCATGTACTGAGTGGCTATTCAGTAAATAGTTGTTGAGCGATACACTGACGTTAGCTTTAATTAATTTGCTTTTTTGGCAAAATAGAAGCCAAAAACCTCTCTTAATAAGGGTGCCTATTTTCCTGTTTGGTGCAATTTATTTGCTAGTGAGTGACACCAAATGGTAAGACAAAGGAAATGCCTCATTCCTCCCTACATCATCTCCTTCCAGTCAGCCGTCTGCCACCCTCCACCCCCTAACAAGTCATTTAAATGAAGGCAAGATTTTGATGTCAGGCTTTATGGACTTTTCAGTTGCCCATCGCTCACCAAACCCGGATGCATTCACTGTCCCTGGGCAGTCGGCAGCCCCGCTCCTCCCTCTGCAACACCTCCCCTCATCAGTCCAAGCCAAATGACCGTCCCCCTGGTTTCCCATGCCCAGATGGTAAGAAGGTAGGACTGTTTTAGGCGCCCCGCCCCCCGCCTTTCTTACCAACCGTTTACAGAGACCCAAGCACTCAGTCTGAACTTTGGGTTGACTGAGGACCTGATACCAGGAGTTCTTTCCAGACCCTGCCAGAACAACCCCAGCCTAGAGGCAGCCCCTTTTATTCCAACTGCTTTCCCTTCTGCCCTAGGATTTCTCAGCTCCCCCCCCCCATCTGTATCAGTTCTCGTTTTTCTCCACTCCAGTTTGCTGCTGCTCCATTCCCATTGCTTTGACCTCAGTGGAGACAGAACAGCTGGCGGACATTCTGTCTGTAATAACCCTTAACATCCTTGTAAAAGAGGCAAGTGAACACAGTTTTGATCATCATAGTCATGGTTTCAGCTCCTACTATATGCCAAGCACCACCACCACCACAACAGCAAAGCAGTCTGCCTGAAGGACTGGTTAGCGTGTGTAAGCCCCCGCGGGAAGGCATCGTGCACACCCCTGGTTGTGCTTTGCTGACGCGGCGCATCTTCACACATGCAGGACCCTATTCATCTTGGACTTTCTGTGGCAGCTTCTCATTGAGGTATTCTAAGGATTCCAACATTTTCTGTGTCCAAATTGCATTTGTAGGAATGTGTTTCTCAACTATAAGTAGCGTGAAATTGTCAGAAACGCGTTCTGGTTTTTTTAGCTTTGAAAACATGTCCATTACAACCTGTGTGGCATTTGAGGTTCTCTGCTTTGTGAACCAGTGAATGTGTATATTGCTGAGTGAGATGGAGAGCCTCTTAATGCCTTTTGAGCGCCAAGTGGGGCCTTAAGTATTTTCACTGAGGTTCTGACACTTAAAAAAGTATAGATGTAACAACTGGGGAACTAATCCCCCCTTACTCATCCTTTGTCCATTAAAAATAAACCTGACTAGAGGCAGCATAACCTGAAGGAGTCAGCCAAGGCTGGCTCTTTCTCCTGCTGTGAGCCTTGATGTCCTCAGCTGCAGAATGGGGTTGATACGCCTTCCTGTTGTTCGGAGGAACGAGTGTAACTTGACACAGCACGTAACAGTTTCCCTTTCTGGTCTTCCCCCTCAGGGAATAGAGCCCAAGAATATTCATTCCTATTTCTTCCTTAGCCTTTTTTTATTTTTACATTTTTTTTTAGCACATCAGGGCTTTTAAACTTTTGAGTGGAAATTTGCCATAATCTGGGATGCTGAGCCTGACACTAATGCTGATTTTCCACGCATTGTGATGCTCTGTCTGCCCACCAGGTGGCAGGAGTTCCTCGGGCGTGTTCTGTCAGCGGTCAGACACATTTGGACTGGTGCATCAGTAAGGCTGCTAAAACAAACAAGGAGGGATGCAAAAATCCTGGCCCTTACACAGTCGAAACCGTTTTACCAGACAGGAGGAGCTAGCCGTCATCTACCACACGCTCATCTTTTCCAGCCACAAACTTCTCATTTGCTCTGCTCTTTTCTCTGGGGCTTTTGCATTCTCTGCCTCCTTTGCCTGGAACTTCCCCAGCAGACCCACCATTGTCACCAGATGACTCCTGCTCATCCTGAAGGGCCCCCTTCGGACATCAGCACCTCCAGGGAGGCTTCCTTGGCTGCTCACCCCGAGTTCCGCGCACCACACCCTGCTCCCCGACCCCGGGGTCTGCACAGTTCAGTGCTGATCCGCTGACTCCTCAGACAGGCCTTTCAGTGTGCTT